TTTTCAAGCCAGTACAGGAGCCAGAGTTCTTGTCTGTTACTCCATATTCCACCATAAGCCATGTGTTGGAAGCTAGTCCAGTAGATCCAAGTGAAAAGAAGTTTGCTAACTACCACCCACGAATATTTGTATCCATGAATATTAGCTTCTAAGGACATTTTGGAGAAAACACGAAATTTTGGACCCTCGAATATTACCAACCGTACGGTACTCAATTAAAAAGATCGTTTCATATGAGAGATACACAGTTGATTCTTGTGCACCACATTGCTAGTATACTCAAATTACTCAATTTTGCTCATTCTGGCACCATTAATTACATTGATCAGAGGTTTGGCTGAAATGATTTTAAAGAGACCTTTGAAACAATTTTTAAAAATTAGCAATTTAAACCAGGCCTTCAAAGTTGTGTAATTAAATACAGGTAGGTGTACATTGTATACATAGTATACCTTAAGGTTACTTTTAAATGCGGGTACTATTAATTGCGAATTTTGTGTTTGGGTTAAAAATCGCAATTATTAATACTCGAAATTATTAATAATGACATCATGATGCCATATAACTATTAGTAATAATTACTTAATCGCAATTTTTAATACCAGCAAAATCTACCTTGTGCTAAAATCGCAAAATTTAGTACCCGCAATTAAAAGTCACTCTAAGGTACTCACAATATTTCGAGTGCTTCTGTTAGCTCCATTCTTTAATAGCAGCTGTACAGTGTCATAATGTCCTCTCTCTGCTGCTGCAATAAGAGCAGTATCTCCATCCTATAATAACAAGATTATGACAGATTGGTTTCCTCCCAAAAATAATAAAATTATAATTCTGATTGACAATTTTAGTGAAAATGAATGTAAATACATGTATATACAACTACATGTACATGTACAGGTTGTGTACTTGAGTACAGCTACATGTATTTGCATAGGCTGGCAGACTGCAGTTGTACTTATAGTCTACTACGTGGGTGTACCAAAGGCGCCGCCAGTACATTATTTTGCATAACATCACTGTTATCACTAGGTATACTGTTATGATAGTTGCCCACATTGGGTGTGACTTAAAACCACACTAAATGAAACAATCAATTTTTAGAGTAAATGATACAATGAATAGTACAATCATCAAAGAAACACTGGTTCACTTATTATAAATGTTGAAATTAATTGTGCAATTATTGAGTCCAGTAAATCCTGGAATCTGATGAGTAGCACTTGATTCTTCTTGTTTTTGCACTGGTTTCTCTTCTGCTCAATCAAACTTCTTAGTAGGATCAGATATTATTTCCTCTGCAGCACGATACAGCTCTTCATTAGGATGCTCATATGCTCGTAAACCATCAAGCGACCTGTGGCCAGATTTATCAGCAATAACTTTTTCTGGCACACCACTATTGAACATACGGGTCATAGCAGTTGCCCTTAAACAATGGTTAGTATAACCAACTAGGCCAGCCCCTGAAGTAATTAAGTGTACAAACTTCTTAATAGTGTTAATTCCTACTCTTTGTCGATAATAGGCAGGTGAGTCAGCTGAAAATTCCTTCGCAGGACGCATATACACATGTTCAGTTCCAGAGGGTAACAAAGGTAAGTATCTGTCCAACAATGAAACAAGGCAACGACTAGAACCTGGTTGAGCATATGCAGCAACAACTTTGTTCTTCATCTTAGCATCAGTAAAAAAGTGGACATTATTCTTTGATATATATTCAGAATACTGATAGTAGATGTTACGATCATATACAGTGAGATCCTCAGGTACCCGTTTCAGCTGGCTCACCATTAAGTCATACTGTTCCTGAACACTTCGCAATACAAAATGTAAACCAATGTAGAAGAATACTGTGTGTTGGAGAACAGTCAGAGAGGAAACACCAAGTGTTCCTTTTTCCCAACATAGGTCTTCATCTTGCACAGTCAAAACTTCAGCATGGTTTGTAGAAACACCAATACCATCCCGGTGTAACTGACTATTGACAGAATCTAGAGTGTTTCGAAGCTCTGTAAAACGATGATCATTTTTATCAAAAATGCCAAAAGTAACTTTATTCTTAACAAACTCTCGGTTCAGTCCACTAAGTAGGTTCCTCAAAATGGAAGGTGGGTACCTTTCTCCATCTACCTTCCTGGCTTCAAGCGTGAAAAGGCATAGTACGTGTGAGACACGCTCAGCATCTGGGCAGCAAAAAATTGTCTCGTCTATTTCTTCATCAGGACATCTTTTGTTGCGCTCTCTTGCCCAGGTAAGGAAGGTATTTAAGGCCCACCTTGTGCTTTGCTTTGTGTTATTAGGCACCACACCTTCAGTGGCTTTCTGTAAAGCTTCACTCTTGATAGGAGACGGAAATCGCTTTTCATTCTTGGCTCTTTTGCTCTCCCTCGCCTCCTCACTACAGTCACTAGGGCAAGTATCATCTACTTCCAACGGTCTCTTCTCTGCCATTTTCCAAGATTGAAGCACGTGGTGATGTGGTTTAGGGCGGTTCCTTTGGTATGCCCCCTAGTAACCATAAATCATTTAAAGCACGGGAAGCAGTGCTGTGCGGGATATAACAGCACTTGGGGTGGGGTTGAGATTGCAATACAGCA